CTTAGTCTGTTAATGTTTTTGTTACGGTAATAAATATTTTTTTTATTAGAATGCCCCGCATATTTTACTTCCCTTACTACTGAGTAATGAAAAGAAAATATGTGAATTTACTGAAATTCTTCGTGATTTCTCCTTTAAAATAGACATAAGAGGAGGGAAAATATAGTATTGTATTGCAGATGATGATGATGGTGATGATTTTTTTTTCTTTTTTTTTCTTTTCTTTTTTTTTACCAATATTTGTTGTTATGGGGGGCTTAGGAGATGGAGTCTGAGGCCCAATGTAGGGGATCACCTCTACCTTGGACTTCAGCCCTCCCCTCAACTAATTTTGCATGGTCTTTTCTTCTCCCCTTTCCTTTTCCTTCTCTTCTGTTCACTTATCCTAATCAGTAACTATTTTTCACCCTTTTTGCCATAACACTTTATTATAATGTTATGTAACCTTTGTCTAGCATATTTATTTGTATCAACCATTAACCATTCTGGGATTCCACAAATATTGCCATATGACCCAAAAAATTTGATTATGGTACTAATAACCTTAGATGTTGACAAGGCAAAAAAATGTCAATAAATAATAATACACCTATTTAAAGCAGACACTTATAGATTATCCTTGTATTGCTCTAGACCCCCCAATTCCTTGCTCATTGTTGTTGGAGCCTTAGGAAATGGAGCCAATGTGGATCACCCCTGTGTTGGACTTAAACTCTTGCTTTATCCAATTTTACATGGTCTCTTCTCCTCCCCCTTCTCTTTTCCTTCTCTTCATCCCCTTCTTCTGTCCAGTTATCCTAATAATGAACTCATTTTTACTCTATTCACTACAGTACTGTTATAACGGTATATATTCTTTGATTTTTGGCACATTTATTTGTTTTGAACCATTAACTATTCTGGAAATCTTTAAACATTGCCTTGCAAATAATAAAATTCCTTAACGAGGGTCTTCGCCTCCAAGTCCCACCCTATCACTATATTTAGAATGCAGCACAAATGACCTTATAAGATGATATGGCAGAAAATATTTGTTCAATAAATAATGAATATTGCACAAGAAAAAAATAAGTATGTATGCCCATCACACTGCTCAAAATGCAATCTCTTGATATCTTCATGCCTTATCTTGTAGCAATGTGTGCCCCAACCAAATTATAAATGCACCATACCATATGTAGACAAGAAGTTATAATAATTGCCTGGGTATTTTTTATTCATAATTTCCTCTTTATAGAACATTTATGAGCTATAAAGAGTAAAGTTATTGGAAAAGATTGAAATATGTGCTGAAAACAAAAGCAGTTTTGTATGATTTACTTATTTATTTTCCAAAAGTATTCAAATATGATTAATACAAATTCATGCTTAAAAGTAGGTAACTAAGTATGGACCAAATAAAAAAAAGTATTAATATATGTACCTTCCTTATTTTTTTACAATTTATTCAGTATGAATCCTCCACCTATGCATATATGCATGTCTGTCTAGTGTCTATTCCCATGCCAGTGCCTATACTTTTGTTTGTATATTTTATATATAAGTTCATGTTTTTCCTTTGTTCCTTTTTCATATTTTGATTGAGATTAATCCTTCAGCAAAATCTGAAAAGAGAGTTGCAGATATTACCATCAGTCGTGTTAAAACAGTAATTAACAATTGTATAGTATTAAAATATATATACACATTTCACTTAACGAATGTATGGCATACATATGCCACGAATGATATCACGTTTGACCATTAACAATTAAAGTACATGGTTTTCACAATACTGTCAGGAGCAACAAATATTACACGAAACATTAATCACTAGACAAAAATAAAAACAGAAGCATACCATCTTGCTCAACAATAACCAATCATATGGCAAATATTGTAAACCCAACATACCTCAGCATACCATCTTGCTTGGCAATAACCAAATCATGTGGCAACTATTGTAAACCCAACATACCTCATGCAACAATACGAGCATGCATGCCGGGTGCACTGGACTTCATGGCGTTTATGAGTTTATTTAAGTTGTCATTTTCTCGCTTCGAGCAACCCTGGCATCCGTTCTTCAGTGAATCTCGTATGTATTCTGCAATATATTGAATATGTGGGTGTAAGTTTATGCGTTCGATCTTTGTGGGTTGTAGAGGATGTATACAATTAGGATACAATTTTGATATGAAGTAATTGATGTGGTTAACTTCTAAATGAGTATAAACTGTATACACATATCTATCCATATGTCTGTTCATCTAACTCTCTCTTCTCTCTGTCTCTGTCTCTGATACAATTTTGATATGAAGTAATTGATGTGGTTAACTTCTAAATGAGTATAAACTGTATACACATATCTATCCATATGTCTGTTCATCTCTGTCTCTGTCTCTGATACAATTTTGATATGAAGTAATTGATGTGGTTAACTTCTAAATGAGTATAAATTGTATACACATATCTATCCATATGTCTGTTCATCTAACTCTCTCTTCTCTCTGTCTCTGTCTTGTCATTTTCTCGCTTCGAGCAACCCTGGCATCCGTTCTTCAGTGAATCTCGTATGTATTCTGCAATATATTGAATATGTGGGTGTAAGTTTATGCGTTCGATCTTTGTGGGTTGTAGAGGATGTATACAATTAGGATACAATTTTGATATGAAGTAATTGATGTGGTTAACTTCTAAATGAGTATAAACTGTATACACATATCTATCCATATGTCTGTTCATCTAACTCTCTCTTCTCTCTGTCTCTCTCTCTCTCTCTCTCTCTCTCTCTCTCTCTCTCTCTCTCTCTCTCTCTCTCTCTCTCTCTCTCTCTCTCTCTCGCCTGCTCGCTCGCTCCTTATATGCGTATGTGCGTATAAGTACACTCGCACTTACACACACACACACACACACACACACACACACACACACACACACACACACACACACACACACACACACACACACACACACACACACACCGATTCACCAGCCTTGCAACCGACCCTTCTCCATCGCCTCCAGCCCCGAAAACTCACGCGATATCCTCAAGCACTTGGAACGCTTCGGGTGCGCCTCCGGAACCATACCGGCCAGGCACAGCGCGGCTCGAGGCCACTTGTCCGACGCCAGAAATTGGTCGATCTTGCCGCTGTCGACGTCCAGCATCCCTGCAGCAACAGCTTCGAGGACCACGCTCGCCACCACCACGGAGAGCAATGCTGTCTTTACCTTCATGGTTCTGTGAAGAATAATTTCACCGTGTTCGTATTCCAAACAAAAGTAAGACGGGTTTACGGTTGCAATATTGAGGAGGAGGAAGAAGAAAAGGAAGGACAAGAAAGAAAAGAAGAAAATAAAAAGTAAGTAAAGCAAGAAAGCATAAAACAGAAATGAAAAGAAAGAATGAAAGAAGAAAAGGAAAAAACACACACACACACACACACATATATATATGTGAGTGTGTGTGTGTGTGTGTGTGTGTGTGTGTGTGTGTGTGTGTGTGTGTGTGTGTGCACATATACACATAAGCATACATACATACACACATATTTACATACATACATACGGAGACAGACAGACAGAGAAAGACAAAGAAAAGATAGAGACAGAGACAGAGGCAGAAACAGAAACGGAAAGAAACAGCACCAGAGACAGAGATGGAGACAGAGACAGATAGGGAGAGGAAGAGAGAATTAGCCCCCCCCCCCACACACACATATACATATACAAATCTCTACGACAGTACGCACATCTTACCTGCGTGTAGTGCGGCAATAAGTACAGATCCCGGTTCGCTGGTCGACCTTATATACACGAGCCACAGTATAATGCTCCCCATCCGGCACGGTTTCCA